AACATAATGAGGTAAAAAAATAGGAACACATTGGGTGAAATTAAACTTTATAAAGAGAGGGAGGGGTTGGGGAGGGGGGGGGAGACAGAGGGGGAAAGGGGGTTGGGGGATGTCCAAAGATAGAATATCATTGGTTACCCGCGGGACTTTGGTCCAGAGACGTTGCTACCGTGCAAGTTGATAGTGATAAGTTAGCTGGTGGCGTGTCTGGAGAGCTGATTAAGACGACAATGATTGTTTGCACGAACTTCCTCAGTTGTATTGATTTGGACGTGGGGAGTTGTTTGTGCAGACATGCGTACTTTTTTGGTGTTTGCAAACTCTTCTCCGGTCTGTCTAAAAAATATTATATCTAAAATAAAATTCCGGGATGTTACGACAGTACGGCAGTTTTAATACAGGCTCCTTTTACTGTTATCACTACTACTTCTATTTTATGTGCCTGTATTCTTAAAAGTCAAGCATAGGGAAATGATACGATCGTATAAGTTTATTACATGTATATATTTTTATATAATATGAATTTGACCTGTGCTGATTTAATTTCTATTTCGTATTTAGATGTACATTCTTAATTGTTCTCATGTTTTCCCATTGTCGTAATTTTGTTTTGGGTTTGTTTTTGTTTTGTTTTGGTTTTTGGTTTTATTGGGGGTTGTTTTGGGGGGGGGGGGGTTGGCTTGTGTTAGTTTCCTTGCTGTTAGATTTTTAGAAGAGGTCATTATTTTGGTTTTTGTGCCTTTTTCTGCGAATATGGTGAAATGTTTGACCTTTGGTGCGTATATCATATTTGTGTGGTGACGACTTTCAGATCTCATGATTTCATGCAAAGGGTGGCAGTATACACCTGTTTGAGACACGAGCTCGTCACATTTTTGTCATCATCATTGCCTTTCTCAGCCTGGATCAGGATATATGCCACGAACAAACACTTTCCACCTTTCCCCATCCTGGGCTAGTCGCTTGATGTCATTCCATGTCTTCCCACTTTTCTGTACACCCATCTAGTGAAAGTAGCCGTATTAAATTCTTAATCTGACTTTTTGTTTCTTTTACCAGGTGTCTGTTGCATATTTCCGCGAAAAATTGTGAAAGGTATTATTTCCCATCCAGACTCTTCCGACTTAGCCCGGCTAATCACGCTAGCAACGCTGACTCGCTCACTCCTCCTTATAATAGCTTTGTTATTAACCGGACGCTTTCGGCCTGTAGCCTGCAGCACTTTGGTCACTTACTTACCTTTCATCTCATGTGGCAGTCTATACTGTCGAGGAATAATAACTATTATGTCATTCGCCGCTACTACCCTTTCATCTCATGTGGCAGTAAGTTCTGTCAAAGAATCTTAATTATTAATATTATGTCATTCGCCGCTGCTACCCTTTCATCTCATGTGGCAGTAAGTTCTGTGAAAAATCATAATTATTAATATTATGTCATTCGCCGCTGCTACCCTTTCATCTCATGTGGCAGTAAGTTCTGTGAAAAAATCATAATTATTAATATTATGTCATTCGCCGCTGCTACCCTTTCATCTCAT